GAGCTGGACTAGCCAGCTGGAGGCATGTTTGTAGTTATGAGTAATATAAATATGAGGCATTATTCATCCCAGTCTGTCAGCAGATAGATTAAAGAGAATGGTGCATAAAACTTCTTAGTGTTGATCAAAAGCTGTACAGAATTGCATTTAAGTACATGAGATGTCCAGTTTGGAATGACCCACAGCAATCCTTAAATTTGAACACATTCAGAACTGTAACAGTGTTTCAGATTTGACCCAAATGGAAACAGTTCTACTTGCACAGAAAAGAGTAGAAAAAAGTTCTACTTGCACAGCCTTCCTTCCTCCCGTCCTTCATTCTGCCTCCCTGCACAAGCCTCGAGGCAGACACATCCCCTACAGAATTCTGGAGAAGCAAGAGAAACAAAAGAGCCAGGTGGCCACAGTCACGTCATTTCCACGGAGCACGGGAACAATCCGGGGACAACACAAGTGGAGGATGTGAAGCAAAGCAGGAGGGATGGAACTGGACAGAGACTGGGTTTGATGGACGTGCAGCTCACACCTCTCATTGCCACAGGGGCCAGCGTGTGGGGAAAGCTGCAAAAGGGAAGAGCTAGTTCTCTTCTACTCTATCTCCTCCAAATCGAGAAAGAAAGGTGAGAGGTAAGTATTCTCTTCCAGGGTGAAAGCAAAGCAACTGCATGTAAGTTTGCAGCATTATTCCCGTTTTACATTTGGGGCCACATAAAGTTCCGAGCTATGGTGAGTTAATGAATTCACAGAAGGGTTTCCATCTCAATTGCTCTGGTATCTAGCAAGGGCTAAGAATGCACAGGCTTAATCTCTGGCACCTACCTGCCCTTAAGGCTAGGTGTGCACTTGCTGTTTGCACCCCACTAAAGACAGAAGCAATCTGCACCTGCACCACCCTGGATGGAGACAGGGAGGGCAGCAGCCACAGCAGCACTCCTCACATTTTATCAGCACCAGAGAGGCTGGTAAAACCCTGGGCTCTCTCTAAGACCCCTTGGAAGGAGAGTGGGTGGGAAAAAAAACCAGCTAAATGGCCCTGTCACACACTATAAGAATCTAAGTGCTTATAAAAGTAAAGAAGGAAATTCCAGGTCCATGCATGAGACACGAAAACTTAAAAATACAGACATAAAAAGTCTGTCAAAACCAACAATACAAGAATTAAAATCTGCCCTCACTGAACATGATGGGAGCTATGTATTTCAAGTTGTAGTCAAGATTTCACTCAAGCAACGGTAATTTTAATTTCTCATATTTTCAAAGATTTAGAGTCCTTGTATAAATATTACATACAACTGAAATTTTCTTGTGAAACATCAGGTACTCTGACTGCTAGAAAATGAAACTAGAAGCAGACCAAAGCATGAAAAGTATTGGGTTTTTGTGAGGATAATACACATGGAGACACAGCATACATTGCTGCAGCATTCAGAAACGCACTGAATCAGGATGAACACTGGGCTCTGAAGACATATAAGTCAGTGACAAATGGTCACTTTGAGAAAGAAGGCACAGAAAACCAATCCCAGTGATAGCATCCTGTGACACTTCCCTGCAAAGCAGGGAAGAATAAATGCATCTGGTAAAAATAGGAGGCAGATTCATCTGTTTCTAAAATTTGAAGCAACTGGCATGGTTTCCCAGGTATCTCCTGCTTGTTTACCTGCTTTTGTAAAGTCAAGAAGAAGAAGAAGAACTAAATATATCAGCAAGAGGATGATTGTACCTGATGGACAGTTGTGCACTTCTGCATACATAGTAGACGGGAAGAATATGTAACTGCAAATAACCTGCAAACCTCTAAATAATAACTTGTGTGACTTGGCAAAAGCTCGTAACAAGACAATAAAGGGCACACATCCTCACAGAGAAATAAATCACAGGTAGCCCTAAAGGAAAATTCCTTTTTTCTCTCGTTTTTGAAAATACCTTCGGTGGAAGTTTTGTCCTCATTATTTAAAGTACTTCAGTGGTGCTTTGATGGCCCCCAGCAATTCTAAAGTTCCTTTATTTTCTCCTACAGACATTGTGGATTACAAAAATGACAATTTCATTAATACATAACAACACACCTTTCATACCAATGAACAAAGATATTGCAAGACTCCTGAAATGTAACAGTAGGAAAAAAGAGGTATTACATACACATAGTTATGTAATTGTTGCTTACTTTAAAGTAATATAAATTAGAGAAGCAATTGGAGATTGCTCAGAGCCCACATGCCCATTTGCTGCTGTTTGACAGTTACTTTTGGACTCATATTCAGAGTATGCCTTGAGGAGAAGGAAGGAATGGAATTTTATTAAAACCCTTACAGAAGATGTTTAATGTTGAAAAGGGTATTTGTTGGAAAGCTGGCAAACTGGCAGTGGGGGCATGTAAAACAGAGACATGTAAAACAGAACATGACTACAGAACAGCAAAGAAGTATAAAGTTGAGTTACAGTACAGTTGAACACAGCAGTTCCAATGTGCCTTCCAGCCCACGTCTAGACAGTTGTCATCAGCATACTTGGCTTTTTTGCACTCATGGTGATGTGATGGCCATGTGTCACTGAGGACACCACCCAGTCCAAGCTACATGTGCCATAAGCTCTTATCTGAGCTTTGACAAACGTCAAAAAGATATGAGGGAAATGCTGTGCACACCATCAGTCTGTCCCCAGAGCTTGGGGGGGGGTCCAGCAGCTGGGGCTGAGACAGGAAAACCATGAAACCTGGCTTTTCTTTGGGCATCTTCCCCTCTCTGCTCTCAGGTGCCTCACACACAGCCAGACCCCAGGCTTGACAGAGGAGTCTGGGAATAGGAAAGGGAATTAATTTCTCCATGCCAAAATTGTGTATATGGGTGCAATCGTGGCTTTTGTACATACAGAGCCCCACTCCCAGCTTCCCACTGACACGCTTTGCATTTCCATGCATTTCACAGGGAAGGAGTGGCTGAATTTCTGTCAAGAGGAGCAGGGTCTGTCCCCTCAGTACATCCCACTGCATGCACCCCTTTACTACACAGCTGCCAGAGCTGGAGGGCTTTCTGGAGTTCTCCAAAGGACGGCTTGTGCTAATGTGACCCTTCACTGCAATGAAGGTTTGGGGCACATGAAGGGGAACATTTTTCAGCTCATTCTCCTTCGCAGTCTCTTCAAAGAAAGGAACTTGGTGCCTCTCTCCAGCCCTCAATGGAACTGCACAACACCAAGTGACTACCACATCATTTGATGCGTGTTAAGAGCAATTTGCAATTTTATGCAGGAGCATCCTTCAGTATTTCTTGCTTGACATCAGTGTGTCACCATATATATTTTATAAATACATTGTACACATATATAAGCACACACACAAGTTTACTAGCAACAGCAGAGGTTTGAACAGACAGAGGCTGTTTTCTACAAGGCTACTGTAAATCCTACCCTGCCTATAAATTTGTACCATCCCCTTCCCTTCTGGCTCAATTTACGGGAGGGTCAGTAGTTGTCACAAGCTTATCAAACTCCAGATATCCAAACTACATTTAGAATATGGATACAGCTCAGCAAATCACAAGAGCATGGACTCACGACCTTAGGTCATAACTACCTAATGAGTTCAGTAATTTACACAAAGAAACTGATCAAGACAAACCTATCTACAATTCCAAATGACTAGATACATCAAAATACAAAATTTGAAAAGTAGCAGCACTGCTTACATCCTCCTGAAACTACCAAAAGGGAGTGGCCTGATACTCCTATAATTTTCCACAGGAAAATATGTCATTTCACCTTTCTGCACAGCATGGATTTTGTATGACTCAGGAGACGAGGAGTGAAGGAAACACCTCCCAAAATCAACCCAGACAGGACTGCCTTCCATTATGACACCACAGTTCCTAGAAACAATCTGTTCAAGAGGACAGGATGGCCAATGTTCAAAGACTGGCTCCACCTCAGTTACCAGCCCTCAGAGTCTCCAAGATGAGGCATTTATTCCAGGACAAGAATAGTGGCTGATGTCTGACAATGGCTCCCCCCTCCCAGATAGAGTCCAGAGCTGGAAAACATGGGTGGGAATGGAAGGGAAGAGCCTCATTCAGAGCAGCTGAGTGTGCCAGCCTCACAGCCTTTCCCTGGGGAAAATACTTGACTCAACCCGAGTGCTCCTTTCCAGCTTTTGCCTCACATAAAAACTGGCAATAGTCAAAAAACTGCCCACATAAATGAGTACAGTTGAACAGAGGGGTCTGGCTAGACTTCAGTGGCACTGGCAACGTTAGTGAGAGGAAGAAGGGAAAGTCAGGAGTGCTGTCAGCAACACCTGGAGGAAGTATCTGCCATCCTTCATTGAATAAGCTTAGGTATATGTGATATGAAATACTCTCCTATGAAAGGAAAAAAATCTGAGTTATCCTAAAACATGGCATATGCCCTAACTTCAAAATACAATCTATGGAAAACACTGTCAGGTTTTGGTTCATCTTCATCATGTAACTTAATGTTGGGTGAAGAGGGCTATTAAATGCTAGTGCATTTCTAATTCAGTCTTTCTTGCAAACAGTCTTCCATCATGTAGACCATGAAATTGCAAAATAAATATAAAATCAACCTTTTAATCCCAAAACCAGAGAAGAAACACATGCCCTAAGGCATAGTCCAATTGCTTAACATCAATAAATGTGTGTTTCTCATCTTGCTGCAACCCGGGAACTTTCTCGTTTTTGGGTTTGTGGATGTTTATCTTTCTTGGCCTGTAATGGCTCTCCTCTGTATTAGCTACTTTCTCCAGGTTCCAATTACAGAACTGTCTCATGACATGTAAAGACTTGGACTATGAGTATGTTATTCATATCAGCTGACTCATTATGCATTCTTATGTCAGTCCTTGCGAAAGAAGTGTTTTCTAGTATGGAGAAAGATCATGTGTTGTAAAAATATGATCCAGAACTAAGACAGATATCTACCCGTGACCTGAGTCCAGATTATGAAGCGTCTCAGCCACCTTAGTAAAATATTAACTGAGTTTGTGGGTTGTCATAGTAAAATGAGAGGCTGCCTTGAACATAATTTCATTTACACACATTCAGAAAATTGACATCACGGCTGCAAGGACGTATAAAAAACCAGCACAGTGCCTTTTGGATTGACTGCAGGAACACTGACAGGAGCATTCTACAGGCTCAGCTCCTCTAACGGCACAACAGAAACTGGATTTTGCAAAGTACACTGAGAAGCTTCTTTTTATAAATCAGTTCTGAGGACATCTGAGAGATTTTATTTTGTCTTCAATTGTGTTTTCAGTTCCTTTAAAGAAGCATGTGCACGGGAGGCTGTGCCAAGTGCCTGGGAATTACTCTCATCCCCCTGGCCGTGCTCTGCACCCTTGCTAACATTTTGCTGTTTTTCCCTGGAGGAACAGTGGCTGAAGAAAATGTACACATTACAGATGAAGTTTGGTACTTTGGAGGGATCTTGGGGTCAGGTGTATTGGTAAGTATCTAAATTCAGACATTCCTACCTTCCCCCACCTGCAGCCATGGCTTGCATTGTTGAATTTTCTCAGGACTGCAAATTCCTCTTTGATAAACAAATAAGTTATAAGTCATCCAAAGGTTTGGCAATAAGTAACTTTACTTAATGATAAGAAAAATAACCCCCATAGATTATTATACTTAAAAGAAGATGCAACTCGAATTCATCCCAATTCAAAGGGTATTTCTATTATTTGTAGATGATCTTCCCTGCCTTGGTATTTTTGGGCCTTCAGAATAATGATTGCTGTGGATGCTGTGGAAATCGGAGCTGTGGAAGTCGGTTTGCAGTAAGTGAAAGGAAAAGTGAGATTGTTACTGATGGATGCCCCTTCCTCTCACAGCCACTGTGAGTCTGGGCAGGACGTCTGGAGTGAGGACACACAGCCCTGCCATTTGTTTGAGTCGAAGTGGAAATAGTAGGCTGTAGGAATTGAATTATGCCTCTGATGTTTTACCACAGGCAGCACAACAGTATGGCCTCAATGATTTTTGCTGTCACAAGATACTTATAGTTACTATCACAATTAAAATTCATAGCTGTAAAAGCTTCACTCTGTTTTGCAGAGAACAACAGCCCTCTCCTTAGTCATTTTCTGTTGGCAGCTTTTAAAATTACCCTGGCAGTCAGATACTACATTTCCAGCTCACTGCAGGCCCACAAAATGAGCTGTATCTCATTATATTAATGGAAATTTCAGCAAGGAATAGACCTCGGGAAGTCACTTAATCCAACCTGCTACTTTAAACAGTGTGGATGAGACTCCACTTTGAATTTATAGCTTCCTTTCACACTAGAAAAGTTTCCAAAGGATACTTTCAGACACTAGTAAATAAGAATTTTAGTTTAAAAATTAAATCGGAAAAAAATATATTTGTAGTGGGAAAATGTCTTTTTGAAATAAATTCTTTGGATCAAGCGGATCATTAGAGTTTTTAAATAAAGGAATAGATTTTCAACTGAAAAAAAAAAGAGAGAGGAAAAACAAATGGGAAAAAATTCATGCCTATGAGGTTGATCAAAGAGCCTTCCCTAAATTGCTTTTGATGCTGTCTTTATGCAATACTAACAAAAGAGATTGAACTTTGAGAAGAGGAAATGGAGCCATCTGTTTCTCTTTACAACACTGGATGATCCATTTTCTGCCAACAGCGAAGAGAAGGCAGCTGAGTTTTGAGAGCACACAGCAC